GTTGCACTAGCAACGTTTTTTACATTTTCCTCATATATTTTTTTTTTACAAATTTCAGTAGTTGCACTAGCAACGTTTTTTACATTTTCCTCATATATTTTTTTTACAAATTTCAGTAGTTGCACTAGCAACGTTTTTTACATTTTCCTCATATATTTTTTTTTACAAATTTCAGTAGTTGCACTAGCAACGTTTTTTACATTTTCCTCATATATTTTTTCGGTGTAATTCAACGATCTTTTAATCTTCTGATATTTGTAATAGTTTATAGCTTAGTAATTTTTAAATCGTACAGCCTAATCGGTTTATTCGTCAGCTTTTTTGTTTGCTATTTTTTCATTCCTGCCATTTCAGAAGAATTAACCTTCCGAAATTAAATTCGTATCAAATCATATGCTATATCAAATATATTGTCATCTTCATAATGTAAGGCTGTTGAAAAGTATTGAATGGATTGTCACCTTCACAATGTAAGGCTTTTGAAAAGTATTAAGTAAATTGTCACCTTCACAATGTAAGGCTGTTGAAAAGTATTAAGTAAATTGTCACCTTCACAATGTAAGGCTGTTGAAAAGTATTAAGTAAATTGTCACCTTCACAATGTAAGGCTGTTGAAAAGTATTAAGTAAATTGTCACCTTCACAATGTAAGGCTGTTGAAAAATATTAAGTAAATTGTCACCTTCACAATGTAAGGCTGTTGAAAAGTATTAAAGTAAATACTTATACTTGTGCTTATACTACAAACAAACAAACATTTGTTTTTATGAAACTGCATTTCACGCTATCTATTGAGCAAAAAGAGAATTAGAAAGAAAAAAATAATAATAATAGCCCCATCGAAAAACCTACACAAATCAGTTAGAACGTTTTAGAGATATATTACAAATTATTACAATTTTATATTATTCTGAAATTCAAAAATGTTAGATTTTACACATTTGATTACATTATGTAACATAGCTATTTCGGGGCAACAAAGTTACGCGCACAAACCATGAATTAAAAAAAAGTAAAGTATTGGCTAGTACCTTCTTTTTCTTCTTCAAGTACTTGCAGAAGCACCTTCCAAATAATTAAAAAAAACTCTTTTTACAAAATATCATAATTTAATAATCTCGGTTATGAAGTAAACTTTTGGGGTTTCGAGATTCGACGTCGATGCTAGGGTTACTTGGTTAGTACGAAATCGAACGTACAGGTGCCGCTACAAACAAACAAATTTCGACGTATGTTCTAAGAATCCACGAGTGAAAGCACAGGAGAATATGTTATACTATGTCAAGTACATTTGCCGTGACAACTGCCGGCGAGGACTTCCGCCAATACCAGGTCTCGTCAGGTTGGCTGGGGTACGATAGACACAGTAGTGTTCTAGGCACTATATATATATATATATA